TCGATGAGTTGCAAAACGACGAAGGAAAACTGGAAGAGCGGTCAATGAGTAAAGGTATAGCATAAGCAAATGGCGAAGGCCAAAAGTTGCAAAAACAATGTTCCGAAGCTTTCTCTTGGAAATGTGTCTCGAATCACGCGACATTGAAATCAGTAATTGGCCACGGTTTCCGTTACGAAACATATAATCGTCACGATCATTAGAGAGTATTCTGCAAAAAGGGTAGACGACATTAGTCGTACAATTTCATACGGTTTCTTTTGAAACCTTGAATCGGAACAAATAGAAGGTGAAACTTCTGATTCCTTTTCCTCCGAGGAAAATTCGACCCTCGAGTCTGACGAGTTTGAAACACGAATGTCTACTTTCATCGCAACAAGGGAAAATCGTGAAATCATTGTGTTGTGTAATTTTCACCGGAATGTGGTTGAAATTCGATTAATTGATTTTCTGAAGAAATGAAGCTTTCGACCTTGAAAGAAACGCAATTACGCCAGTTACTGAAGCGCGTTGGGTACGCGATAGATCGCAACCGCTAAGTTAACGACGGTGTGGCATAATACAGATGCTTGGACCCGATAGTGGAGTTACGTAACGTTCATTACGGTACCAGTTCTACGACCCGTGCTGACAATGGGAAAATGAGATCTACCGATTATTACCCGGCGAATGCATTATTAAAAGGTTTCAGATTGTTCACCTCTCAGCGGAAAAATAGTTTGTAAATCAGGTGTTTCGATGACTTTCAAATCTATCTTTAAAATATTCACTTTCATTTTCTCCGTAAAGATGCGAGCCAACAATCAATAACGTCGGTTTCGCTGACAGGCGATCATTAGAATATTTGCCATTCCACCGCGATATTGCGTTACGCGCGTAAATCAGTCGGTCGAGGTGAAACTTAAAATTCAAACGTGCGTCAAAGGCGAGCGAGCGTTTTCCCCCCGCGCGGAATCGCACACCTACGTCGCGAGGCTGAAACGTAATTACACGCTGCGCTTTGATCGCTCAACGGATGCCCTCTATTTACCGGGGAACGTTTGAACGGACCCCCGGAGCAGCGAGACCAAAGGGGAAGCCTTCCCCTTTATACTTTCCCTTCCGGCCTGTACCGACCAGATCTGGTACATTTCCATTCGGCTAACCGTTCGAAAGCGGACCATGGATAGACGGCCAGACCAACATTTGTGCAATTGCGGATCTGGAATTCTCTGATCGCGGGAATGGCGAAGGGCGAACCGATTGAAAGGGAAATCGTTCGTGAAGGAGCCCCTACCTTACGCCTCAATGATCTTGCGTTTTCCTGTTCTCCGATACAGCTGCGATCCGTTGCGTTTGCTACATTTTATCCTGCAATCATGCCCACCCTTGTTTACCCCTTTCAAACATAAGGAGCGACACTTGTGATGGTTCCACATTACAGTACATTAGCTGTATGTTGGGTGTGATGGAAGCTATAACTACTATGTCAGCAATACTAGATCTGTACTGTATTACAGTATGATTCCTATATTCCTCTCACAGTACAGGAGAGTGTACTGTGTATACTATAGAGCAATAGATGTGTTAGGGACATGACATCATGTGATCGACATGTACTAGACACATCATACAACCATCACATTAACCCTTCAACCTACAATTTTTTATTGAGTTGCGTCTCGCACAGATACCTACAGTTACTCATCTATTATACATCCTATTCCTAGCATGTGAAGATGACTCAGGAAAGTTCAAAGTTAGATATGTTAGCTTAGGTTCTTGATTTGTGAAGACTGTACGAATTGAATCTAAGATTCGGCAAGAGTTTGGTTCGTCACATATGATCTGTGCGTCACGGGTGCGTCAGGGATGTGTTACGGGTGCGTCAAGGGTGCATCAAGGGTGCGTCATGAGTACGACAAGGGTGCATCACGGGTGCGTCACGGGTGCATCATGGGTGCGTCAGGGATGTATCACAGGTGCGTCAAAGGTGCGTCACGAGTACGACAAGGGTGCATCACGGGTACATCAAGGGTGCGTCAAGCGTGCGTCACGAGCACGACAAGGGTGCATCACGGGTGCGTCACGGGTGTATCATGGGTGCGTCAGGGATGTATCACGGGTGCGTCAAGGGTGCGTCACGAATACGATAAGGGTGCATCACGAGTGCGTCACGGGTGCGTCACGAGTTCGACAAGGGTGCATCACGAGTGCGTCACAGATGCGTCACGGGTGCGTCACGAGTACAACAAGGGTGCATCGCGAGTGCGTCACGAATACGACAAGGGTGCATCACGAGTGCGTCACGGGTGCGTCACGAGTACGAGAAGGGTGTATCACGAGTGCGTCACAGATGCGTCACGGGTGCGTCACGAATACAGCAAGGGTGCATCGCGAGTGCGTCACAGATGCGTCATGGGTGCATCAGGGGTGCGTCACGATTGCGTCACGAATACAACAAGGGATTACCTTTAAAACGTTCCAGCATTTGCATCAGAAATTAATCTCACAGTTATGACTAAGACCACGTGTCAATGACTTCCGGGACCGTGGGTGGTTAACACTAAAAGTTTTTATCAAGCAATTTCGCAACAAATTATATGAAACGCGCACGATATCCTTTGTTCGTTACTTGTTTCTCGGAATGGTAGATCGAACCTGTTGATACCGAAAATTAGATCTAGAGATCGATAAGCAAAGGAGAACTTGAGAAGTTTTCGCGTGTATTTTCTGTAACGTGCACGAACGCATCTGGGTCGTTTCGCTCTGAAACGTCTCTTCGTTAACTCTTTTATTTCCAAAAGTTCATCGAAATTCGCAACCAAAATAGAACTGTTATTCTCCCCTTACGTCATACGGATTTAAATATCCGAAAACTATTTGCATATCTCCATTATTCATGGTTTTACCGTCCTGAAAATGCCTATCAATTATTGAATGCTCTAATAATTTTAGCTGTGACCTCTTTACGACGTTTCACCTCATTTGCGTGCCATGCACGGGTTTCTATTTAGATCGAGGAGCTATCGACCGGTTTTCATGTCGAGACATATTAATCGATCGGTGCGTAACGATACGTTTTTCTTCCAGTCTTCGAATTCCGTCTTCCGGTTCCAAGTTGTGACTTTCGATCACATGGCTAAAAAGAACAATGCGATTTTTGACATGGGTCTGAAAGCGAGAGTACAAGTTTTTGTAGAAAGATAAACCTCATATGCAGATTATCGCATTTAACGAATCAAACCCGTCCGACCCAGATTTCACATCGTAATCTAACTTTTCATTTAAATTATTCTCGGACGCAACACTGTCGTGTCAAAAGACTGGACTTTCGTGTTCCGTAACGTGTTGCATACAGGGTGTTCCGTTCGTGACGTTCCACTCGTCCGTCATTATTCTTACAATTAGCCTCGTTTCCACACCAAGCGATCTTTACGTAAATACGCGATTTAATTTCATTCCACCTCGACTGAGCACAAAAAAGAACACCAACGTTTATTGCTCGACCTTGATGAATGGCATCATTATACTCTTTCTGGAGCTCATTGTAATTGGACGATTTGTAGCAGCCTTCGGCATTCCTTCGATTCGATGAATTAGGAGATGATTGAATCAGAGCAGTCGTGATCTCAGAAATGTAAGGATAATGCGAAGAGTTTGCTACATTTTAAGCAACATTTTTCTACCTGTTACAAACAGTGAATCAACTTTGTACATCTAAACATTTGATTAACGAATATTAAGACCGCCGCAGAAAAGGCATAGATCGAGCGACGCATACCAATGGAAGGACGATTATCAGAGCATGCTAAAAGTCAGGTCGATCTCGGGACGTGCTTCATTAGCCACGATCAAACAAGGATCGTACCTGCAATCCGATGCTGCTGAGTCAGTCATAAAATTAGTCGCTAACGAAGTACCATAAAATCATCCCAAATTTTTGGATCCTGCAATCAAGCCCTTTTATACTCATCACTTCCTTCGTTAACTTCCATTTACAAAATCATATTTTTTATATGATTCATGGAGGTTTTTGATATCTGTTCTTATTAAAAATGTTGAACATAGAAAATTGCGTAACCGCTAAAATTTTTTAGGTAATACAAGGTTCAATTTCAACGGTGAAAGGCGATGCAACCGTAATTAAAGCAAAACTTTAAAGCGTCGATTAAGTCATACACCAACATCGACAGACCTCGATTAGCTACGCAGTCGAGCAAAACGTAAACGAACGCTATTCCGTAATTCTCATAAAACAACTATAAAACACCATTGGTTCAGATACATAAATTGACGACGGCTTAAGAAGATTTGCATGTCTGATACTAAATTTCTGATCGCCTTAAAATATTTTAAGTGGGCAAAAATGATGGAATCGGTCATATAAGGTAGACTGCTAGGTTTATTTATTGGCAATTTTCGTTTGTAGCTGGTTAATATATTTCGTTGTAATTGTGTTTCTCAGTGTTTCAATTTTTTGGTCGATTGCACCAGGTCTGCGTTAGAATTTCCCTCGTGTATGACGCACGAACGGAGGATAAAAATGTAAGGATTACGTAAGATACGAGACTTGGACGGGCGATTACGTGGGCAGTCGATCTGGCCGCCGATGGAAAACGACACGAGCGTGCAATATGCATCGTGTAACATCGAATACGTGACCATTCGAGCGGAACGTTCACGGGAATGTTTATATACATTTTATCGAAGAGTTCCACAGTTACAGTTTACGTTGTAAAGTAATTGGATTCGAAATGGCGGGGCTTTCTCGAAATTCGTAGGAGCATTTCACCCCTTCGAAATTTCGAATTTCATCAAATTCCACCTTTAATCCCGCTTTCACGGTTTCAATAAAAACTCTTTTACGAATCTTACGAATCTCGAAATTCCACATCTGAAACCTCCCGTAGAAGCATTCCACCCCTTGAAATTTCAAATTCCCTCAAAATCCTCTAATCCCCCTTCAGTTCCAATAAAAACTCCTCTACGAATCATACAGTCATTTATTATAAAAGGCTACAAAATCATCATTACATAGTCCTATATGCAAAATAAATAAATAAATAATGTAACAGTCAAAGAGCAGTCATTCACGCCTCATTTTCATCGTCCCCTTCCGTGATTGGCAATTCCGTGGGAGGTTCGGTTGGCCATTTACCGACGGTTGCAGCAGGATCAATCGTGGACGGAGGATCCGTAATTACGATTGGACCCAATGGTTCCACCGTTTGTTCCTCGTCCTTCACCGTGTTCTTATCCTTTTCGTCTACCGAGCTTTCATTTTCTTCGGGTTGCATCTGAGGTTTCGCTTCGGGCTCGATTGAATCTGGGGTGGGAGGCACCAGCTCTGTTGAGGGCATCATCGTTTTGATTTGACATTGGCGACCCATGTAACCCAGAGGACAGATACATCTGCAATTTTATGGTGTTGTATGTAGACATTATTTCTTTAACAGCAACTATAATGTATGAGTTATATCATTGTTGTATAAGTCACTCTATTGATGTATGAATTATATCATTGTTGTAGAGGTCATACTATTGATGTATGAATTATATCATTGATGTAGAAGTTATATTATTAATGTATGAATTATACAATTAATATAAAAGTCATACTTTTGATGTATAAATAGCAACATTAATATAGAAGTCATACTATTGATGTATGAATAGTAACATTAATATAGAAGTCATATTATTGATGTATGAATTATATCATGAATGTAAAAGTTATACTATTGATGAATAAATAGTATCATTAATGTAGAAGTTATACTACTGATGTATGAATTATATCATTGATGTAGAAGTTATATTATTAATGTATGAATTATACAATTAATATAAAAGTCATACTTTTGATGTATAAATAGCAACATTAATATAGAAGTCATACTATTGATGTATGAATAGTAACATTAATATAGAAGTTATACTATTGATGTATGAATTATATCATTAATGTAGAACTTATACTATTGATGTATAAATAGTATCATTAATATAGAAATCATACTATTGATGTATAAATAGTATCATTAATATAGAAATCATACTCTTGATGTATGAATAGTAACATTAATATAGAAGTCATATTATTGATGTATGAATTATATCATGAATGTAAAAGTTATACTATTGATGAATAAATAGTATCATTAATGTAGAAGTTATACTACTGATGTATGAATTATATCATTGATGTAGAAGTTATATTATTAATGTATGAATTATACAATTAATATAGAAGTCATACTATTGACATATAAATTATTCAATTAATGCAGAAGCTCTACTATTATCATATGAATTATTCTATTAATACAGAAGTTATACCATGAACGTATGAGTTATATCATCAACATATCCAATTAAAATACAATACCTATAATTGCCATCTTCCCTGGTCATGCTAATACAAGTCGAATTATTCTGACATATTCCCGGGTGTTCGTCGCAATACGTCAACTTCTCGTTACACAGGTCCCCAGCCCATCCAGGTTCGCATCTGCACTCCCACGGCCGTTTGCAAGTTCCGTGTACGCAGCCAGGATAAGGGACACATTCGGTACAATTTGGACCAGTCCAACCTACGCGACACCTACACGTCCCCGGACGACGACAACTGCCGTGTTCTCGGCTGCATCCTTGCGAGCAAACAGCTGCACAGACAACAAATTAGTTTAGATAAATGTACATTGTACGGGGTACAATGGTTACTCACGAGTCTGGCAGAGAAGTCCGGTCCAGCCGGGTTCGCAGCGGCATTCGAGTGGTCCTTGACATGTTCCGTGAACGCAGCCGGGGAGAACTGCGCATTGCTTGCATTTTGGTCCTTGCCAACCTAGTCGACATCTGTGAAAAATATAGAAGACATAGAAGATATAGAAGATATAGAAGAATAAGATGGATTGTAGAGTCATACAATTTTTAAGAGGTGGTCAGAAGAGATATGCTAAGTTTTTCTGGGTCCAACATTTGTTATTTGCTTTTCTCTCAGCTCCCTACTTAGCTTTTCTCAGTTGGTTTCTGTACCTTACTATTACGATACCACGTTACCCGTTTCTTCACATTCCTCTAATGCCACGTTTCCACCTCAGTTTGTCATTACACTCGAAATCCCGAAATACAGTACTTTCGACTAAACGCCCGAATTACATCGTTCACATTCGATGTAAAGTACCAGCCACGTATTAACGGAACGAGGGCCAAGTAAATGGTCGGTTCGGTTCGATTCGCTGCTACCGGTACCGATAACCGTTCATTACTCCACCACTACGCTTTAACACGTTACCTGCATTCGCCAGGCTTCTCGCAGTATCCCTGGCTGGGTAGACAATCGGCGGCGCAGATCGGTTCCGAGCAGAATATACCCTTCCATCCAGGATCGCAGGAGCATTCGAAGCTTACGTTGCAGCTGTAAACGAAAATCAATTTTGTCAGGGTAATAAGGTCTTCGTGCGCGAATTCGCGGAAAACGTTTCGCGTTACGGAAATCAAGATCTTCGTGCTGGAAACTTTCACGGTTCGAAGTTAAATGAACCGTGGTCAGACGCGTTGTTTAAAAACGGTTGGAATAAATTCGCGGTTAACGTAATTGTATCTCTTATGGAGAAATTAAACCGGAAAGTGGATCGTTCGTGGTTTAGTTAGACAGCGGTCTCGCTTCCGTTTGTGCAATTTTTGTAATACAATGCGAAGTTAATTTTGTGTAGTATTTTTGCTTGTAAATTACCTGCCATGTTGACATCCTGGCAGAGCCACACATTTGTCGCATAGCTCACCGTAGAAGCCCAATTTGCAGCGACATTCGCCGGGTCGACGGCAGTAACCCTGAAGAGGGTCACATCCCTTACGACAGATTGGCACGTCGCACAAATCGCCGGTCCATCCTAAGAAAAGAATTAAAAGAATCGGCTATACAAGAATTTCTGTCATTAGCTTTTTATTGCACTTTTAGAATGCTTTTTTTACCTGGCAAACACTTTACTTCTCCAGCCTCGTCGCAGATGTAATGCGAATTTGGATGCTGGGAAGCTGGTATCTCGCATGCCTGCTTCTTCCATTTGGGGACGTACCTAAATGCAAATTTATTTCTCTGAAATATCGGTGCATTAGAGCGCTATGTACTATCAGATTCTACTGTATATGATCAAACCTGTAGATTGAACTATATTAAAGAGCGTTATATTAAAATATTATACACCATTATTGTACATTGTGGTAAACTATATTGAGGTACATTAAACTGGTACATTAAACTAGCACATTAAACTGGAACATTAAGTGCACTATATTAAACTATTATACACTATTATTATACATTATAATAAACTATATTGAACTACATTAAAAGTGTACATTAAACTGGTACATCAAGTGCTCTATATTAAACTATTATACACTACTATTCTACACTGTGGTAAACTATATTGAGCTACATTAAACTGGTACATTAAACTGGCACATTAAACTGGTATATTAAGTGCACTATATTAAACTATTATACACTATTATTACACACTATAATAAGCTACATTAAACTACATTAAAAGTGTACATTAAACTGGCACATTAAACTGGTACGTTAAGTGCATTATTATAAACTATTGTACACTACAGTAAACTATATTAAACTACATTAAACTGGTACATTAAGCTGGTACATTAAGCTGGTACATCAAGTGCATTATATTAAACTATCACACACTATTATTACACACCATAATAAACTACATTAAACTACATTAAAAATGTGCATCAAACTAATCAAATACGAAGCAAATTTATCTTAAACAAACTTCATAACAAATGATTAGAAATGTAAATAAAATATTGTTCTGCTTAAAATGTTCACGTGAATATGTTCACATATGTTCTGCTTAAATGTTCACAAAATGGCTCCTCGGAAGTGTTCGAATATTACAAGCTTAATTAACCATATTATTATTATGACGAAGTATAACGACAAAGGATGTCTCAGTTATAAATAGAAATACATTCTTTTCCAAATTGGACGCCGCTTTCAAAAGAGAAACCATACGTATATAGAATAGTGGAGCGAGACATAACCGGACAAGGCGAACACTGTTCAAGATAACATCGTCTACGACTCAGCAATTAAAGCAACGGTGTACTACATGTGGCACGCAAAGTAACAATCTGATCATTGATAATAAGTTGAAAGAATTCGTTGTACAAACAGTGTCTGATGGAGATCACCCTTCTAAATGTAATGTCTCAATTTTTGCTACTGGGACCTCACACATTTGAAGTCACTAGATCTTCAAAATTACACGATCTTCAATGTCAAGTATTAACTTTTTCATACAGTTATTTTTCATATATTTTCCTGAACCCCTCAGTATAGATTTGATCTATATATATTTGACAAAATAAAACACAAGAGTATAAAATATCTGAACAAGTAGTATTAACAACCTTGTGGCATTGATACATCACTGTGTATTATCAGATACTATTAGATCGTTGTTCATGATCAAACTTTGCTACATTAAAGTAATTAAGCAAACTTATCTTAAAGTGTACGAAAAATGACAAGAAAAGTAAATGAAATATTTTAGAACAGAGTAAGTGTGAAATTTATAGAGTGACTCGACTTTGAAGGGTAGCAGAAATTAATTAAAAATACCTTGGACCAGCAGCAAATAAATGACAAGAAAAGTAAATAAAATATTTTAGAGTAGAATAAATGTGAAATCTCCAGAGTGACTCCACTTTGAAGGATAGCAGAAATTAATTAAAAATACCTTGGACCAGCAACGAATAAATGACAAGAAAAGTAAATAAAATATTTTAGAGTAGAATAAATGTGAAATCTTCAGAGTGACTTGAGATTGAAGGGTAGCAGAAATGAATTAAAAATACCTTGGACCAGTAGCGAATCCAAAAGGCAGCGCACTAAGTCCAGAAACGGCGGTCACGCCGACGGAGGGTCCATTGTTCAGGATGCCCAGTTCACCAGGACCGATTAGGAGGCTGACACAAGCAAGCAGTAGTATCATCTTTGCTTGACTTCCGAGTCAAGACTGAGGACGACCGCTTCCAAGGCTTTGCCTTGGATAACGGGACCTTGTTCGAGGTCACGACACACTTTTTCATCGTTGCTCGTGTGTGCGACACGCGTACACAGCTGGACTTCCCCCACGAAATCGTCTTCTCTTTTTGTTTTATTCCGCCGACTCACGACAAGTTTATTATTCGCTCGGGAAAGTTCAATGTACCTCTGTATTTCTTTGGCCGCGTTCGAAAGGAAATGGGACTTTCTCGAGAGGTAAGCCATGGAATTTGGCTAACTCCCTGGGGCCAGTTTTGGATAACAGTTATTTCGACAAGGTTGGAAAATCTGACTCGCTCTGAATTGCAAAAACAGTCTTCCAGCGAGAAGTCAAATTAATACCCCAATTTTCCAGATACCCGAATTCCGAAATTCCCGGAATGAAAGTTTCAAAGTATTAAAGAATCTTTTATGTTCAAAGAATGAAACATTCCCTCAGTAATCTGGTTTAAATCCATTCGATATGGAACAGTCCCTTCGTAAATTCAATGAAAAGAACCCTCGTCATTCACGTTTGATCCTCAAAGAAGGAGGGATCCACAAGAAGGGATTAAAATCCTGAAAGTTTCCAGGAAAGAATGAGTACAAAATAGTTGAGAAGAGATTTATTTATACTTTAAAAACTATGTACAGCTTCCGTACTATTTACAAATAAATACACAGCTTAGCACCTCGAAAAGCGCTGTTCTACTTTCTCTGATGATAGGAACTCTTAACAGTCTGTCCGTTGCGCGTTGAGCAAGCAGTGATTTAACCTTCTACCACGTACAAAAATATGGTCCATTTGTACAGACTACCAGCACATTTACACGTTTTACAGACTATCTTATCTATCGAACATCAAATTTACAGGGTTAAGTAGAATTGACTCGGTCGCTTGTACAAAATTATCCTCAAGGAACCGACTCAATTGTTATACATATAATGGCAATAATCTAGCAGTCCCTTATCTTTGACAAAAGCGTCCGCCCTCGGGCAGACGTGTCCCTGAGTTTGTCGTCTAACACGTTAACAAGCACAGAACAAATTTAATTTGAAAAAAAAAGAAATGAATAATCTACAAAGTTAATTTGAAGAGTCAACGTGTTAGTTCTAAAGTACGAAGGGTTACACATATGATACACTTTAAAACTAAATTCCTTTCAATAAAGAACTAAACAATAGACCAGAAAATGCTCAAACTTCCTCGACCTCCGCATTCTTGTTCTTCATGCAAATCTTTACGAGGCCCAGAATGACCAGCGAAAGAACGGCACAACCACAGGCAGCGTAGATGTCCCAAGGATACAGCTCCTCGAGGGTCCTCTCTATCCTCTTAGCATGAACGAAATTGGGCCTGGTGTCCACTTCGATGGGGAAACTACCTGGCCCGTCGTTCGACGCGATCCTCACGAAGTATTTAGTGCCCGGCACCAGCGAAATCTGCGCAGAATTCGAGTCCGCCACTTGGTTGCCCATCAGACCTCCCGTCTCCGGCTCCCAGGACACCACGTACGACTCCCTGTTCCCCTGGTCCTTGTCCAGCTTGTAATCGTTGCTGGTAGATGGCGTATTGTCGCTTTCCATGGAATCGTCCGTGCGATCGTCCTTTCTTCTGAAGAAGAACCTCCTGAATACCTCGTCGGAGATCTGAGAGTCCTCCTGGCTCCTCCATTCGGCGAGCACCTTTTCGCCGTACTTTTCCAGGAAGAATTGTCTCACTCGGTTGTTGAATCGAACCTGTTCCAGGGATCTCTGTTTCTGGAGTTGCGACTGCACGTCTTTCCACGAGATCGTCGCTTCGTATAAGGGACCTTCTTTTAGGGATTCCAGTTTCGGCTCCCACTCTTGCCAACTGTAGTGCTTGACGCCGTCCAGCATTGCCACGATGATCCAGGTGTCGGGTCGTAAGTTTGGACTGCGTCCACCTGGGTAGTAGCCGGACACTCGCCATTGTTTGTACACTTTACGCATTACCACCGCCACGTCGAATTTGTCGAGGTTGAGGGGCGCCTTCTTGGGGGCGGGCAGCATGGAGGGAAGGTATTTTTCTTCCACTCTTGTCTGGCGGTAGGTGCACGCTGTCTGACATGCGGGACACTGGAAAATAAAATGAAACCAGTTATCGAAGATGTATCAATTTTTATGTACAGTAGATGATGTTTATTTTTGGTTTTTCAATTTAATCTTATTATGATGTTTATTTTTGGTTTCTTAATTTAATACTCTTGGTTTAAATTCTCCTACTCCTCGTTATTCTACAAACACTATTTAAAGATACCCCCAATTCTTTATCAAAAAGCATCAGAACCCCAAAAGTAGGTCCAAAGGTCTAAAGCTTCATAGTAACTCGGTAGTCAACCGTTGCCCAAATATTTGAAAAAAGATTTCTATCTACAGAGGTCGATACTAAGCTCGATCTTCCGTGAAAATCGACAGGTAGCCGTTTCTAAGGATTTTCCCTGCGCTTTGCGTCCTTTTATCGGTTCCCTTTCTTCCCGCCCCAGTGCCGCAGGCCAATGTTCATCGATTTCGGACCTTCAAAGTTAACCCCCGCGCAAAGAACTTTTCGATCGATTCGAATTTTCCGCTGATTCGATATGCCTCGGTGGTTCGAACCTGGAGGTCCGAAATTTAAGAACCTTGGTATTCTACGGAGGTTATTTATCGGAATTGACAGATGGAAAGCTACATTTGAAAATCTGTTTTCGGTCAAAGGGAATTGAGGCAACGATATGTGACTTTGTATTTGGACCGATCTGGTTTTAATATTATATTGCTGTTATGTTTGTACATAATTTTGCTGTTATATTTGTACATAATATTGCTGTTATATTTGTACGTAATGTTGCTGTTATATTTGTACATAATGTTGCTGTTATACTTGTGAATAATATTGCTGTTACATTTGTACATAATGTGTATAATATAGTGCATTACTGCTATTCTATTACCAGTAACAGCAGTAAGAGCCCCAAAGACAGACGACGCCCCTTAACGCCGTTTCCCCTCGTTAGAAGGAAAATTTCCTGGGGTATCCCCTAATCGAAAGACTCCGTAAATTTACTTACATGTAGATACTGGTCGCCCTCGCAAATGGTCCTCGTTTTCTCCCAGCGATTCTCCAAGCCCTCGCAGTATTGCCAGCACTGTAACACACAAGAAAAAAGAAATAAAATCACGTACACGTACACACGTAAAAGAAGCGAGCACAGAGAAGAGGGAGGTTTGAACGTTGAACAAAAAGCTCTTGCACGCACGGGTAAAAAGGACGACGGTAGACGAGGGAGGGTGAAGAGGGAACGGCTAAGGAACGCAAAGAAGGAAAGGGAGAATAAGAAAGCATCGGCTGGGACCGTTGAATCGAGCGATTTAAGCGGCTATAGAGAGGACCAGGGGAAGGAAGAGATGCAGTCAGAGACAGGAGAAAAAAAGCTGGAAGAAAGAAAGAAAGAAAGAGATGGAGAATTTAGGTGGGGGTCCGAATTAGCTCCAACCTGTTTCAGGCATAACAGGCACCGTCGTTGTTGTCTTCATATTTATTGGGGTACCGTCTCTCGTGGAGCCCTGTTTCCAGAGTCTTTTTTTATTCTCTTAGACCCCTCACTCCCTGAATTATCCTTCATCACGATGTTCCTTCTAAGTCCGCCTGTTTCTACGAAGCATTCCCTCTTTCGCGTTAATGACGCCTCCAAAAAAGCCTCGCGATAATTTCCGACGACCACTTTTCCCGACGTTTGGTCTTCGTGTCGAGATTAGACCTCCTAAGGTCTTTGTCGTGGAAATTAGTCCAAATCATTGGTTGGTTATTTTACCATTTCGAATTGAAGGAAAAAACGTAATGGAATCTTTGGAATATAGAAAATTGGATTGCTCGGTTTGGCCAGTATTTCAGTAAAGCCACGAAGCTGCAGGCTCTCGCGGCGCCCTTTCATCCTCTTTATTTCACTTTACGACGACCCGGTCATTGATTTCCTGGGCGAGGGGACTTCGTTTTTACGACCCTCCGATCGTAATTCGATAACGGTACGATCATTTCATCTGGATGAAATCTGATGGAGCGATCGACGCCTCTAATCCACCAGTCTTCGATTACCGATTAATACCCGTACGAATTTTTATCACTCTATCATTCCACTGATTAAGAAACTACATCCATCATAAAATACTCTATATTCTGAATTTCAATCTACTCTTAACTTTTCTAATTTATTCCACATACATGACCCTATGACCTTTTTCAGCAAAAACGGTATAGCTCCTCTAATTCCTCCAAAAATAATTTCAGTATAAAGAGTGAAATATTGTGGTACTAGTGAATAGAATGGCGGTAGAAATTTCTTTAAACAAAGCTAACAAGGATGACCAACCTGCCAATTCGAGTCACCCTCGTTTCCGATCGGTCGAGCACCCTCGAAGTAGAAACAATTACCCGTGCACGAGAAGAAAGGGCGGTTCAAAGCGAGCGAAAGATTCCCCTAGCCACGAATAATCGTCATTACGACCGTAACTTGGCCGTTTTCTCACCGAGGGGGTTCCCCTGCAGCACGACCTTCATTAAGCCACCTCCGCGCGTCCGCCTCCTCCGAGAATCGTTATTCTAATGTGACCAGGGAAATGAGGACCTCTCCTTTTTCGAGAATAAATTTGAATGGATCATCGCCCTCGCTCGATTCAACCACGATAATGTCCGGAACGTGTGTGCGTCTTCTATTCGTCTCTCCGTGGGTGTACGCGGGCAAGATGGCATCGATTTCCCCGAAATTAATGGACACCCCCTGTACACCAAATGAGCAACGCCCTACGAGTACACACACGTGTACGTGCATTGTACGTGAGTTAATCGTGATTCCCATCTGTCCGGGAGGGGTGCCTACCAAGGGTGGACCACCATGATTTTCCTCGGCGCCCCATAAAACCGACACGCGAGATTTATCGTCTGGTTCCTAGTTTGGATTCCCAGATGACCGAACGGATACTTTTTCGCGGGGTATTTTTGTTATTTCGTTGTTTTTTTTTTGAGGGAATTCTTGGGAAAGAAGGGTCAGTCGCTCTGAATTTCCTGATGGGTTCCAACTTGGGCTATTTGAGAAAGAGGGTCTCGCAGGATGGATGTTCGAAGCGGCTGGAGTATTTTCGGAAATAACACGTCTCTAATTATTACGAGTAATTTCATGAAAAATCAGTGGGATAGTAATTCAAACTTTAGCAAATATCATACAAATTTAAAGAGAATTTAAAAAAATATCTGACATTATTTTAATCATCTCTCACAAATTTAACTAATCTTTTAAAATGATCTAACTTTCAACAAGGTTAAATAAAGTTTTCAGTTAATTAACAATTGTCTATTGACTATCAAAAGGAAGATATGGTGTTACATAGCTATCAAACTTCAAAGAGAATTTTTGAATTTTAGAAATGAATGAGAATTTAATTACCATGCTGCAAGTGGTCTGTTGTTGTCCAGAGTACCAATCACAGACTCCCTCCGTGGTATGTTTCCTCAAACACTGTGATCTGCACTGAGCGATTCTGATGACCGGTCCAAGATCAAAACCGGTAACCGTGGTCAAACACCAGAAAAACAGAAACCACAAAATTTCCATGTTCGATTCTCCTCACTCACTGATTCACTTTCTAAAACCACTATTGTGAAACACTGAAACAATGATCGAAACGAATGCAACGCGTTGGAGGAGAAATACAGACACGGGTATCTCCGAAATTTCGAGCCGACTGCGACCCTTCGGAGGTCGGTACCTTCCTTATGTAGCCACGCGCCCCACCATTGAATTTTAGCTCGCCCCTACCCCCTAAAGGCAAGCGTAGCATCCCTTGTAATTATCCGTAGGCTGGAACCGTCTCCCTCGGCATATGGTCGACCACGCTGCATCATCGTCCTTCTGGCCGAATTATTTCGCCGACCAAAGTAGGCCAAACTGCGAAAAGAGTTGCTGTCTTTTCTCTTTTTTATTTTGCTATGCAATCTCGATTCTTGGAAGGAGTTTTTAGACTCCTAATATCGCGTTATAAGATCCTTCTTATATTAAAAGATTTTCAATAGTTTTGTTGGAGATATGCACGTTAGAATTAGTAGATGTATTTGTATTGTAAATTTTTTCAAATTTTGTATTTTATGATCAAGTTTTGAGTGATTATAATTTTATCTGGGAGGGTAACATGTATAATTGGGTGACTAGTAATAATGAATTTTTATTTATTTTAGTTTATTAAGAAATTTATAATTTAAGTAGCTGCAAATTGAAGTTGTATAAAAGTTTGACCCTTTAGATTAAGGCTTTTGCTTTTCATCCTTGTATATATTCTGAAGAATATTTCATGTTCAACATGAATTAATATTTGTGTAATTTTTACAGCTAGTAACATAACCTAACAGCAACCTAACCTAAACAGTACATTCAAGATGCTTCATTATTATGTTCAGAAATGTTTTAACTATTTTTAAGTGCTTCCACAAGATGGTTAATAATGTCTAACCTAACCTAACCAGTTAATAGTCTAACCTGACCTAACAGGTTAATAGTCTAACCTAACCTAACCTAACACAACCAATGAATTCAAGATGCTTCATTATTATGTTCATAAATGTTCTAATTATTTTGAAGTTCTTCCACAAGATGGATTGAAGTCTAACCTAACCTAATCAATTAATAGTCTAACCTAACCTAACCAGTTAATAGTCTAACCTAACCTAACCCAACCAGTTAATACTCTAACCTAGCCTAACCTAACCTAACCAGCAAATTCAAGATGCTTCATTATTATGTTCATAAATGTTCTAATTATTTTGAAGTGCTTCCACAAGAAGGTTAATAATGTCTAACCTAATCTTACCAGTTAATAGTCTAATCTAACCTAATCAGTTAATAGTCTAACCTAACCTAACCTAACCCAACTAGTGAATTCAAGATGCTTCATTACTATATTCATAAATATTCTAATTATTTTGAAGTGCATCCACAAGACAGTTAATGTCTAGAACCCAACCTAACCTAACCTAGCCAGTAAATTCAAAATGCTTCATTATTATCTTCAGAAATATTCTATGTTGCTTCCACAAGATAATGTCTATAACTTCCAAAACTAAATATCAAGGAAACCACAAATGTAACATTAAATATATGGAAGAAAATTATCGAAGCAATATTCTTAAACGATGCACCGCGATTCAAGTTTCCCGTTGGAATGCTCTGCATACAATCTGTCGTCGCGAATATTATCTCGGTAGTGCACCACCCTCGCATTACGGCCTAGCGTTTCACTGTAATTATCCACGTGCCGTATGGTCGCCGGCATATGGTCCAAAACGCCATTCTACCGCGAAGAATCCTTCCCCGATTGAAGGAAGAAAAGATTGCTTCGGAATTGACCTGTTCTCGGGACAAATGAAATTTCGTCCTTTGTTCCTTTCTAGTTTACGATAATATCCATTGAAAACACAATATTCCTCTTTTGTGGGACAATTGCTATTAAAATGTTCTTTGAACGCAATCTGGGTCATGTCCCGAGCAAAATTGCGTTGAGCTAGTTTGCTTGTCAAAGCTACGAAGTTTCAGAATAAAGGAACCTTCGTTGAAAATCTCAGTTATTAATAACGTAGATGGGCTAAGATGACCCGAAAGAGAAGAGGGCTTTGAAAGGTTCGGAGGGTGACCAGGAAAATTTAGCCGCAATTAGCATCCTGAACGTTGCAAACATCCCGTCTCAAAAGAGAAGGAAGTGATCGAAGTATTATCAAAAGGAGCACGATTTCTCGCAGGTACACGGTCCCACCCACCACCTCCACTCGATGAAAGGAAAAAAATCAAATCAAAGAGGCTGAACGCGAAGGAAGAGGCGGAGAGACACGGGGTTTCCGATAAAGAACACAGGCGCAGGAGGAGGAGTAGAAACGTATTCACCGGAAGTCGTTCGTGCTCCCTGGGTGCCCCGTGATACCCCGCCACAATGCACAGGATGTGTACAAATAAGGGTATTTGTCTGGCAGTCCGATTGTGGGGTGAAATATATGACGTTAAAACTCTGGGCCTAAGTTGCATCCCTAGCGCGAGCCTGTGAAACACGCTGATCCGCGCCCGTTCGCTCGCCAATAGAAAAGACGAATAGAAGAACTATTCATCTAGGCAGCGTTTAGGGGTGGCGCTCGGGACTTCAATGGAGAGTGACATTTTATTGTGCTTCAGGGTTTTTCTCACACCTGGACCGATCTATGCCTCACAATTTTACTATTTTTATTATACAGTAAAATTAAGAGGCTTTGAGTTCTTGCAAATCAATGGAATTTTCATGTCGTTAATGGGACTCTTTATTCTCCTGTAAAATTAATAGGCTTTCATCTTTGCGCATTCTTGCAAATCGATAGAATTTTCGTGTCGTTAATGGGACTTTCTTTAGAAACAGGGTGTCAACTGGTGTAACTCCCTGAAAGGGTGGCAGAGTATTCAGGTTCTGATTGCAAATCGTTCAGAATTGAGATCATGGAATCGTTAAACTCTCGATTCACACCCAGTCTCATGACGCATATTTCAGTGCAAATGTCCCAAACCGCACTGCAATTGTTAATTCTCTTTAATTTAAACTTTCATTGTCCGTTGTAATATCATAGCTATGAAGGTAGTTTTGGCGCATGCCACAAATAAATTGTAGGAAAGGGTTTAAGTAGCATATACGTTTGAGTAATACATATGTTACATACATACATAGTTGCAGTTCAAATGTCCCAAACCTCACTACAATTGTTAATTCTCTTTAATTTAAACTTTCATTGTCCGTTTTAATATTATAGCTATGAAGGTAGTTTTGGCGCATGCCACAAATAAATTGTAGGAAAGGGTTTAAGTAGCATATACGTTTGAGTAATACATATGTTACATACATACATAGTTGCAGTTCAAATGTCCCAAACCTCACTACAATTGTTAATTCTCTTTAATTTAAACTTTCATTGTCCGTTGTAATATCATAGCTATGAAGGTAGTTTTGGCGCATGCCACAAATAAATTGTAGGAAAGGGTTTAAGTAGTATATACGTTTTGAGTAATACATATGTTACATACATACATAGTTGCAGTTCAAATGTGACAAACCTGACTTTTTCATACTCTATACCTTTCTTGTTCGTTTTAATATTATAGCTATGAAGGTAGTTTTGCATCCGACAAATTGTAGGAAAGGGTTTAAGTAGCACTCGTTTTGAGCAATACATACATATATTGCAATACATATTCAATTAGTTTGTTCATACATTCAATTTCAATACAATACATTCGTAATACACAGGTTCATGTCTTGCCTCATTTAGACTCATTTGATTTAGGGATTCAATCACTTTACTCATTACAGTCACTTGCTAAATTTCTCGGATTTTCCTAATATGTGTTAGGGTTTCAATGTTTGATGCTGAACCTCCCTGAAGACATTTCCCGACACCCATAGGTGAGGATGTTTTCGTAGGACCCGTAATCCGTGACCTCCCTTCCACATTCCTTTTCCCGCGTCTCCGACCTTCTTTTCTATCACCGTGTAACATCTCCCGCACGAACCGTTCTTGTATTCCTGTGACCACGCGTTGCCCTCGCAAGAGCATTGTTTATCGACCGTAATCCTCGCCGCGAAGGATTACGTGAGTCTCGATTTTCCGTCAGATTATGTTTCTTTGGCTTGAACAGAGCTTCGGCAGTTTAGAAGTAAGAGAAAGAATTCGAATCGAAACCACGTTCAAAGATGGGTCAAGATACCGTTTCCGTTCTTGAGTTGCATAAAAAACGCTTTTCCATTGGGATTCAATAGAACGGAACTGGGTTTCTTATCAAGCTTTCCTTTCTGATTTCTTTCAGGGCGTTGCAGTTCTTTCATAAAATTCTTAGGAGAGATGAGATTTTGCGTAAAAATATAACTGGTAAAGATGCAACGGTTCGATACGTTAATTAAACATTTGAGACCAGACGTCTCAAACTATCAAAATAACGTCAAAATTACACTGAAAGTGTAGTCACGTTTTTCGGACGCGTTCAAAGTTTACACTGGACTTTAGAGGCGCGAGGACGTGGTGCATAACAAAAGAAGTTTGCTGATCGGATTGTCACACGTTGGGGAGCTTATCTGTCCTAGAAAAATATAGCCATTCTTTCAGCATAATCTCCATACAAAACCCGAGGGAATATTTTTCTCAAATATTATTCGTCTTCAATTCTCGAACACGTTCAAAAAATTATTCAAATCATATTATACCCAAAATTATTCAAATCACCTTACGTCTAAAATTCTTCAAATCATCCAATGAGAAGTGAATCTCAGCTGAAGCCTTAATTCTATAAACCTAATGTAGGAGCATAAAATTGCTAAGAATTACAGCGAACACCTTTAGCCAAGAGTCATCTTGATCGACGCGACAAGGCAGAAAATTTAGGTCTTCAGGGTTGTATCGTCGTAGGAGCTTTGAAAGGCAGTTTTCGCGTCAAATACGACGGCGACAAATTTTCATTGTCAGTCGGCAGCATTAGCGTTTCCCTCGGTCAAGGTATAAGAAGAGAAAGAAGAAGAGATTTCACGAAACGAGTCCCCGGGGAGGACAGGTGGTAACCAGAGGATCTCTGAATCGCTATTGAGCACTTAGCCTTCTACCTTGCCCCTGCTAGGTATCCGCCAATATGTTAGCCTGACAAATTCTCGAAACCGAAATTTATAACCCTCCACTGCTGGTGG